CGTCGAATGTTATAATCAAGCCAACTGCTGTACTTCAGAAAAAAATAAGCAAAGTGTTTGTTTGTTATACTCTTTTACTACCTTATCTTTTTTGACCTCAACCGTCGTTTTAAAGAGCTAGCTCGGCAGTTAAATAGATTATGTATAAGTAGGTGGTTTATGCGTTTGAGCAATTACCAGACCTTAAAAGCAAAATCTTACAGCATCAAATAGATCCTAATGAGTTGGTTTACTTAATGACCTTACCAGACAAATTCTCGGATTATCATTATCTCTGTGCTATTGTGAACAAAGTTAATGATAATGCTTTGACAGATGTGAAGTTGAAGGGAATGCACACACAGTAGAAATTGAGTGTACCTTTTCAACGCCAAACCACAAAGAATTTCATGCCGTAACCTTACCATATGGAGAAATGTGCAAGAGCGATTATTATATAAATCTGGGTCCAACTTAGTCCTCAAAAACAAAACTTCAGAAAAAATTTAAATATACAGGTTGCTAACGATCAAGTAGGGGCATATTTTATGGAACACCATGTAAACTGGAGACCGACCTGCTAGTTTCTATTTTCGCTGCGCAGTCAAGCCAGAAAGAAGACATATACGATCACACGGATGGAAAATACACAAGAGAGACTAACCTTTTGTCTTGGTATGTTGCGTAAGCCCCATGAATGTCCGCCTTTTGGTGGCTTTGCATGAAAATCGCCAATATTAACATTACTGAATTTGATCTCGTCGTCCTCATCAAGGAAAAAGAAACGATATTCGGCTTTAACGATAACCTGAAAGAAGGGAATGTATACTGGTAAACATTACTTTGGTGATGGGTTACCTCTTTCAATGGCGATGTGGCAGACATCTTTAAGAAAAGTGAAACATTGTTGGCGTTTTCAGGTCTTTTTCCGCCCGGATATAGGCAGAGTTGCCAACAAGCATCAGGCATTGAAGAATCCCTTAAACATTTGTGGACTGAGTCTTAGGAATCGCAAAAGACAAGATGAGTTAAGAAAAGAAAAACTAGCTTAAAAACGCTGCTCCGAAGACATAATCCAGGTTGAGACAACTTTAATAGCGATGAAAAATTGTTCACCTACAAATTCA